TGTACTCTGTTGAGACATCTACCCTTAGCAGACACATTCTATAAGGGAACACCTATGTAAAGCAAGCTTGTTTACAGTTTAACAAAATAACCCAATTTCTAAAAAACATTCAAACAGCACTTGATTTCTAATAACGAAGATTCAGTGCAATGGATGCAAACCAGGACTGATAGCCATTATTATGAAGATCCTTAATGCATTTTCCTCAGCATTCCACTGAAGTTCTAATGAAATAAGACAGATGTACTAATTACACATTTTATTTCTTTATCTTTTTATAGATACAAATTAGTATCTATTAAGTATATGAATACGCTATTTACTTGAGACTTTCTGTAATACTGTTAGTAATAAATGTTTAAAAGCATTAGGAAAACAAAAAGTGATTGAAGTGATATCAAATGTCACCATCAGATAATTTGTAAAAAATTGCAATACTTTAGAACAGTAATGATGGGGGTGAAATCACTGTGACCACTTCCACTTAACCTTTTCCATTACAGTATTTCCAAACATTTGCATGTCATTATTCACCAAGTACAGTACACCACACCACTATTTATGTTGCTAATTTCTAAACCAAAGAGTTATAAAATTATGTAATTATCTACATTTTTCTGCTAAGAGAGTTCTAGTCAAATGCTGAAGCTTCTTTCATAATGAGATGCAATGAACGTGAGCTTTCACCTTCGGTGCCAAGTACAAAGAGAAAGAAAGGGAAGGTTAGAAGTGCTGTATGTCTGTTCACTGAGGATGAGGTTACTTGCATAACGTGGCAGTATCACCACCCCTTCAATCTGCACACTTCCATGCACTAGAAAACTCCACAATTGTTTCCTACATTCCTTTAATATGAACACTCAAGAGGCCATTCTATCCTTTTTTAAGGAAATTATTTCACCGCCACCTCCTTGAGTAATCTGAATTTTCATTTCATTCCTACAAAGATTAAAAACACTTTAACATTACTTTAAAACCTTTAAGTATGTCATCAGTATTACTTGCTCTGCTACTGCAGTTTCGTTGCTAAGGCCTTGTCTACACTAAAGGGAAAAGTTGATCTAAGCTATGTAATTTGAGTTACGTGAATAGTGTAACTCAAATCAAGATAGTTTAGATCTACTTACCATGGGGTCCACACTACGCGATGTCAACGGGAGATGCTCTCCCATCGACTCCCCTTACTCTTCTTGATCCGGTGGTGTACAGGAGTCGACGGGAGAGCGACTGATGGTCAATTTAGCGGGTCTTCAGTAGACCTGCTAAATCGACCGCTGCAGCATCAATCCTCCAGTAAGTGTAGACAAGACCAACTAAAGCCAAACTAAATTTTTAGTTTAGATACATTTAAAATCAAGTTTTGCAATGTAAAATTCAAGCATAATTTGTGTTAACCATTTTTCTTTGATAAGCTTGCATGTATTTTTTTTTCAGACAGATGATAGTGATCTCTAGACATAGGTTTCAGGATACAAGTATTTAAATAGTGATATAATTTTGAATACTAGATCTTATTAGAGTAATCATAAACAAGCTGAAATTATTTTAATGACTGATTTTACATAGGTGCAGTATTTTCAGGAAAAATATATAATGAATACATCTTACCAAAAAATGTTTAGAAAAATTTGTTGGCATGTTATTACATTTCTAGGGCAGGACTAGAAAATATGATATAGCTACAAATAGACTAAGACCCTCTCTTCCCAAATCTATTAAGCCAAGAAGGGAGAGACTATAACTTGTTTAAAAATCAATAGTGGAGGAAGTTTACATTTGTCCACCCTATTCTAAGGCATCAATTGAGAAAGCTCCCAAATATTCTGTAATCTTTTACTTTTATTGGACTTGAATATTTAAATTAATACTTCTCATGAAATATTTTACAGTTACAAGGTACATACTATCAATATTGACAACTTTCAGCCTGTTTCAATGGCTTTGTAAAATTTGGTTACTCTGTAATTTCTTAGAAGATGAATGACCATGTTATGTTTGTTGGTTTGTTTTTAAATTCTGTGGATGGAGAGGACTTCTGCAGCAGCAAGAAATGTGAGTGTTAATGAACATTATAACTCTGTTTATGGCTATAAATGCCAGGGTGGAATAACTGAAAACATATGCTATGTGCCTCAAATTTTAAGGATGATGACGCTGTTACATTAGTAGGGTGCAACATGCTATGAAGAACTCCCACAATGTAGCAGTTGTTCAAAAGTCATATTCATCCAGTTGTGCTGTCTTTATTAAAGGATATATAATACTAGATGTGATTTATTCAAATCACAGCTGCAGCCTAGATTAAAGATACTAAACATTCTGGTTTTTAAATTAGAGTTTTAAAACTGTATCTGTATATAAGATAATATGAAAACATGTCAAAGCTCAATTCCTATCTGGATAAGATTTGTTTTTAAGGGCTTGAGCTGTGGGGTGAATAAATACGGAACGGTTCAATAAAGAGTTCCAGGTCAATGTAAATAATGCATCTTAGATCACGACCAGAAAGCTTTAAAACTTTTGCTGGCATCTAGGGTTGAGATAGGCATTGTTTTATACAATGAAATACAATTTATAACAATATATTGATTTCCAAGGGGGGAGCTTTTTATGGTGCTCACAAGAGATGAAACCCTGACTAAAAATATACCGATTACATCTCTCACATATGGTAGATCTTGCTTAAAGTTTTAATCCTCTGAAGACAAAATACAATGATTAAATCAGTCATCTCTATTAACTAACATTAGACATTATGTTAAACTTTTATTATATGAGTCATCTCATATCCCATCTGTCAAGAACTGCCTGAGCTCAAATGTGTAATGTGTTTTTTTTAATTGGACCAGCTAATCTATTTTTTTTAAAAAAGCTTCATTTTCATGCTCAAGTACCGGGAGTTAATTTTTAAAACAATCCACCCGGTTTCCTCCTGAACATAGGTACTGAATCTTAAAGCATGTGAATTACAGTGTATGAAATACATCATCGGTGGGGGGGGGGGGTTCAACCATACTCCTTCCATTCCCATACAACCATCATTGAGCTGGCAAATACTATGCGCGCTACAAAGGTAGTGGATTGAGGCGTCAGGCAGCGTTACAACATATATAAGAGCCTTATAATGAGGAAAGAAGGGTGCAAATGACATTCAGTCTCAATAAAAAAAGGGGGGGCGGGGAAGCCGCCTTAAAAGACTGGAAGGACCTAGCGTCCCTACTGATGTAAATGGATGGAATTGTGCGGGGAGAGGGACAAGGGAACTGTTGCGCTCTCCGGCTGTACAGCCACCATATACCGGCCCCCTATAAACAAATACTCCACCGGCAGCCAGGGCTGGAGGCGCCCGATCGCTCTGGCTGTACAGGGAGAGGAAAGGGAACCAACCGCCCTCAGCCAGTAACGCCAAACATGCCAAGCCCCGCGCCCCACAGCGGAAACCAGCCTCCTCGCGAGGACCAGCAAGCCGGGCCGGCGCGTGGGGAGGACCAGGGGGCAGCTCTGGCGATCCCGCGCTCAGACGGGCTGGGCCGGGCGGCAGAAGTTGTGAAGGGCAGCGCAGCAGCGAACCACCGCGGCAGCTCCAGAGCGGAGGGGTGGGAAGGGCCCGTCCCGCGGGCCAGGCAAGTCCCCTGGCCGCTCCAGGGGTGGAAAGAAGAGGCTGGGCGGGGAAGAAGGCGGCTGGCGGTGGCGGATCAAACACCTGCCTGCTGACAGGGGACGATGAGGATGAGACGGAGAGAACTTGATCGCTATGAACCAGGCTCTCTCCCAGCAGCGCCGTGGCGGCCGAGTGCGGGGACCCCTGCCGAGCACACCGGGGCAGCAGCGGGGTCAGAGGGAGCACTCGGTGCCTCTCCAGCCCCAGAGCTGGCATCTGCCCACGGAGAGCAGCAGCAGCAACCTGGCGGCGGAGGGGCAGCGGCACGGAAGGGCGCTAAGAAGTGTCCATCCAGGTTCAGTTAAAGTCTCGAGCGTAGCAGACTGCGCGGGACACGGATCCTGCCCTCCCGGGCTGCGGACCCGGGGGCAGGTTATTTCTCAGCCATCGCACCACACGCCACCAGCTCGCTTGGGGGGGGGGGGGGCGGGATAAAACAAACGTGCGTGACACCCAGATTACACGAGCTCGGACACACCAATGCAGGGAAGGCTGCCGAGCCCATAGCAAGGGGGGAGGGAGCAGGGGGGATAGAGACCCCGGGGATACCACACAGCCTGGCCACGCTAGTTACCTTTCATCCAGTCCACCACTTGACTCGGAGACCATTTACTCACGGGTTCCATGATGAGAGCCATCGGGGACCTGGCCGCTGCTTGGGCGGGCGGAGAAGCGCTGCCCCACTCCCCTCGTCCTCCCGGGCAGCCGAGCAGTGGGAGGCGGTGGCGATGGGGGGGAGGCGGGAGAAAGCTGGAGGCTGCTTTCTGCTGTAGCAGGTTTTCCAAGAGCCCGCTCGCAGCCCAGCCTCTGCGCCGGAGCCCGCCAGTGGAGGGGACGCCACCACAGCCCCGCGCGCCTCTCCCGCTTGCCGGCTCTGCCTCTGCCTCTCTCTCGGGGTTTCAATTCATGTTGCTGGCTCGGCGGGGAGCGGGGAGGGTGGAAGCTGCTGCACGCTCCGTCGCCTCGGGCCTCCCGCCCCCGCTGCTCCCGAGCGATCCCCGGACTGCTCCGAAGGCAGAGGGCGTGAGCGGCTAACCAGGCAACCGCGGGGCTGGGGCTCAGCCACGCTCTCCCCCCGCCCTCACGGCAGCTCCCCGAGCTCCACGCTTGCCTCTTTCTCCCGCACGGCCGGGAGCCTGGCGGAAATGACGAGCTGCAAATAGCTGAAGGAAAAGGCGAAGCCGCCCGGCTCCGCGCTGGGGAGATGCTGCTGCACGAGGCGCCAGCCGCCGCCGCCGGGGGAAGGCGGACTCTCACGCGCGTGGGGCGAGCTGCACCCGCGCTGCCCCAGTCCCCGGCGCAGCGCGCGCGCCCTCCCCGCCCGGGCCGGCGCTGGGGGCGGCAGAGGTGGGAGCCGGGGCGCTGCCGAGCGAAAGGCGCAGGAGGCGGCCGCGCAGGGCACCTGTTTCCACGAGTCCAACTTCTGAGCGCGAGGCGCCGGCTTTGCTCGAGCGTCTGCTTAGCTGAAAGGCAAACCCCCGTCTTTCGCGGGGAGGGGGAAGTAGCAGGAGCTGCTGATGCATCAGGAGGAGGTGGAGGAGGAAATCAAGCCGGGAGGCATCGTGTTCCTTTTGAAAGCGTTTCTGAGTGGGCTCCGGGAGGTAATTGCTGAGAAAAGCCCTGCTGGAAAATGGCTGTGATTTTTAATCTATTCAAATACCTAAAATCCACATGATTGGACTAGCAGAGTGACTGGGACGTCAAGTGGATGGTGGTTTTGCTCCTTCATGCATAGTCAACACGTAATTCACCTGCTACGCCTATACAAGGATGGATGATTTAACTTCAGATAGTTGTGATTTATTAAGACTCAGCCCACTTCTGCAGACTTTACTCCAGCTGAGTAATGCTCATTTCCGCCACTATTCCACTGGTTTTAATGAGATTACTGGTGTAGTAAGGGATTGTTCGATGTGAGTAAAATTGGCAGAATCAGGGTCAGATTAAGGCAATCCCCAGACTCACCGCCATATGGGCTCCCTTTAGTCCGATCCCTGCCATAGCCTTGAACTCCACACCATCGCACCACCTGGGGTGCTGGTCCTCAAATGCAATCTTCTGGGGTGGGGTGGGGTCTACCACCATTTCCTTTTGAGTAGGCTAGGCCACCCCTGGTCTCCTCCCTACTCCTTGTCTCCAGGTGATCTTGGGTCCATCCAAGAGGAGAAAGGACTCATCCTCCCCCCACCTGACTGCAGGACTCCCTATGTACCCGGCACCACCCAAACAAAACCAGGATGGGATGGCAGCAGCAAGAGACCTCTACCAATGTGATGTAGGTGTGCTTCTCCTAATCAACCCATATGCAGGAACCCCATCTCCAAGGAGATAGTAACTCTCCCAACCATTCTTATACCAAGGGGTGAGGTGAGGACCAGCATTCCTTCTTGGCTGTGTGCAGAACCAATGGCTACCCACACTGAAATGTGACATCTCTGAGTGAAGACTCTCCTACTCTTACTCTATCCCTCCCTCATTCCATCTACACATTCATTTTCTCTCCCTCCTCATTCATTCCATATCCCATATTTATTATTGCCTACTTTCCACCACTGAGTCTTCCCCCTCACTCTGGAGAGTAAGGGGGAGACCAAAAGAGTGAGAGAGTGAGCTGTAGAGAGAACGCCCATCTGGCAAGGAGCAGTGGCAGCTAGGTCCCCTACCTTTGTGAGTGGTGGGGTGACAGCAGAGGGCTCTCCCACACAGAGAGATAGGCATGACATCTTGGGTCTCCTCCTCTAGAGAATGGCAGAGATTACAGAAGAGGTCCCCCCTCAGGAGAGTTGGGAGCAGCAGAAGCGGTCCCCTCCCTCCAGCTAGCCAGGGGGCAACCTAGTCCTGCTCATAACAGCGCTGATTTCATTATACTCAGGTCACTTTCAAGGTTTCTTTGTAATTAACAGATCTAGAAACTCTTTTTTAATGAGGGATGAGATTCTGACATCATTACTTGACTGCATATATATATAAGCCCTGCACCTTATATAAGCCCTGCACCTTGTTCAATGACAAGTTAAAATCTTTCCCTGGAGTAAGAGAAGGAACTTGTTCTTCCAAAGATATTGTTTTCTGAATCTCAGGATTCCATCTGCAAAGTTTGATTTTAGTCAATTTCCCCTCTGAAAGGGTCAAAAGATGCAAATCCTTACAAAATTAAAGGAAACCATAGGCTATTGCTATTGTTAAGAATGGTTTCTATTAGCAACTTTTATTCTGAAAGACTTAGAAATGGATATCCAAGTTCAGTCCAGACAGAAACATGGCTTGTAATTCATACCACTAATGTATAATTTACAACATTGTGGCTGAGGAGAGGGGCAATCATTTGCATGCTTGGTGAAGAAGAGTTCAAAAACTAATACAAGTTCAAATATTTCACATTTTTTCTGCAGCTTTTCTGCCCATTTTCTCAATACCCACACGTAAGAGTCCTATAATGTATACTTGCAGAATAAACTACAGTTACACTGGGCAAAAGGTTTGCAACATTGGAGAAGACAATAGGTCCATCTCTGACCCTTTACCTCTAGCAGCAGTCAGTATCTGTTGCTTGAAACTGCTCTGACCTAATTATGAAATGGTGAATGGAAAATCCTTCCTTACTAACCTCTTAAGTAAACAGCATATGCTCTGAAGCAAACGACTTGATTATATTTGTTATTTTATCTGGTACAGCTATCATACCACTATTCAGTTAAATCCTGGTATCTTTCGCAAACAAGTAAGTATTTTTAGTGAAGTCAATAGAACTACATGCATGGATTAAAGGAGAAAGATTTGGCCCATTATGAGTGATAAAATTATCCAGTAATAGTATTTAACCTGATGACCTACTGAAGCAGCAAATTCTTCGGCCTGAGAATGTGCTGCAAAAATGGTATTTTTTTCAAAAATTGTTCTAAATTCATTGCTCAGTTGATTTTATTCTTGTTCTCTTGCTAGGGTAAGGAGTCAAAAGGTGAGACTGATGACTTTTACAGTGACTTTCCCAATCTTAAATATCTCAATCAAATTATTTTTGATGCTTTTCCTTTCCAGGCAATGGTCCTGACCCTGCAATCCAATCTACATGCACCATCTTTTTGCCTGTTCAGAGCCCTCTTCAATGGGATTCTGCCCAGGTGCAAGGATCCATTCAAGTGCAGATTGTATAATCCTAGTTTTTGTACTAACTCATCCACTGCAACTGACCTGATACACACAATACTTTAAAATGTTAACATGTATTTTTAAAAGTGTCTAAATTTGTATTTGTGCAGTCACACATGTCAATTAAATTTTCCACTTTTAGAGCAGTGAAAATAAAGATAAAAGTAAATCTGTTGTTAAATAAAAATGGCGGGGGGGGGGAGAAGAGAAATTTATTTAATGCTGTATTACAAGTCTTATGTCAAAAGCAGAGGATATGTCTGCTTAGGCTAGGGTGACCAGATAGGGACAGTCCCGATATTTGGGGCATTTTCTTCTATAGGCGCCTATTACCCCACACCCCCGTCCCGATTTTTCACACTTGCTGTCTGGTTACCCTAGCTTAGGCCCTGATGCGGCAAACACTTATGTACATGCTTAATTTTACTACCACAAGTGACTTCAATGGGACTACTTCCAGTAGTAAATTTCAGTAGTAAAATAGAAGTTTTTGTTAGGATTGAGGCTATAGAATGTAAGATGTCTGAAGAAGGGGCAGTCTTTTGTTGTGTTCATAGAGTGCTCAGCACAATGGTCCCCTGATGCTTGACTGGTGTTTTAGGTGCTACTGCAATACAAATGATTAATAATAACAATAATGATGCAAAAGAGAATTAAGGTACTCTTTAGACCTACTGGACCAATGTGACACTCAGCTTTAGGGTGACAGAATTAGGCTCTGGATAGGCACTGCATGGCTGGTCTGTTCAGCACCTTAGTAACTCTTTAGACAAACACTCTCTCAGTTTTTATCTGCTGGAGTGTAAATTATCCTTCACTTTTTATACCTTAATTTTATTTTATTTTATTTTTATTTTTCCTGAGTGAAGCAATACAAATCAAGAGGCTGTCACTGAGCATCTGTATTATTTACATGGGGCCAATCTGCACACTGGCTCTCAGTGATGGATTGCTGAATATATGTGGATTTCCCAGAAATTTCAGAGAACGCTGATGGGGTATATAAGCCCTGCACCTTGTTCAATGACAAGTTAAAATATTTCCCTGGAGTAAGAGAAGGAACTTGTTCTTCCAAAGATATTGTTTCAGATTCCAGCAACAGAAACAAGTTATTCTAAGAGATGGAGTAATAAGGCTAATGGAGATAGATCCCAGCTAATTTGCCTATTTTGGGGCTATTAAACATACCCAGAGGAAGTATGTGAAAAGTGTAGTATTTCTTTCAAGCAAGGAAAGCTTGCCCATGTTTTGGCAAGATTCAGTTAGGAATTTACTTCAAGAAATACATTTCTTATTCTCTTTCCTCCAAATGTCTTTGAGAACCTGATTCTGCCATCCATACCTGCACTGAGTGATAGCTTATTCTGCAAAGTTTATGGGTCAGATTCTGATGTCCTTAGGTTGGGTAGCACCCCAAGTTTAGTAGGACTAGCATGAGTAACAATACTGAAATCTGCTACCAAATTGATGGTGCACATGGGACTATTTGTGTAGTAAGCTACCACTCAGTACAAGTACTGAGGAGCAGAGTCTACCCCAAAGTAAAGAGGTCCAACTGGTCAGTGACATTTCTGATTTAATTCTTGGCCTACGTTCAGTTCTTCTCTTTCCTCCCCATCCCCTCACCACTCAATTCATCTTTTCCTCCTTCAATGTATTTTAAAGTATTATTTTAATGACAAATGTCATCTTACCCTTTGGATATGTCTTAAATCCATGATCACTTAATATGATATGAACTAATTTTTGAGGATTAAACATTTTAATCTTGATTGTGTAATAACTACTTGATATATTTATTGTGTAATCAGAAATACAAATCATAATCCCCCAAAGGATGTTTAATCATTTAAACCACTCAGGACTCACTTAAGGCACTTAGATGAGAAAGGTGGCCAAGGGGTAAAAATTCAAAGACTTCAAACACCTTTCATAAAACAAAAGATCATTGTTTTTAAAAGGATTTAAAAATGAATGACCTGAGTATTTCCCCAAGAAATACCTATCATTTTAATTAGGTTTCTTCATTAAACAAAAAAGAAACCCTGCCTTTGAATCTGTTTTATATACAGTTTGAGTCCCATCACATCTCTTAAACAGGGGCAATCAAGTAAATTGTGCACTGGGACTTGCTCCATTACTGGCTGTATAAGGAAATAAACAGGTTTAATAAATTTTAGGATCAGAAAGGACAACTGTGAACATCTAAGCCTGACCTTCTCTATAACACAGGCCATACAATTTCACCCAGTCATACCTGCAAAGACAGGAGGGGGAGGGCGGAGGATTATTCTTTTCCATGGTTATACTTGTTTTTGTACCAATATGTATCAATTACTAATCCCTTTCCATATGGAGTTAAGGGTATGTCTACACTACGAAATTAGGTCAAATTTATAGAAGTCAGTTTTTTAGAAATCGTTTTTATATAGTCGACTGTGTGTGTCCCCACACAAAATGCTCTAAGTGCATTAAGAAAAGGAGTACTTGTGGCACCTTAGAGACTAACCAATTTATTTGAGCATGAGCTTTTGTGAGCTACAGCTCACTTCATCGGATGCATACCGTGGAAACTGCAGCAGACTTTATATACATACAGAGATCATAAAACAAGACAGTGGGGTGGGAGGAGGTATTGTTTTATGATCTCTGTATGTATATAAAGTCTGCTGCAGTTTCCACGGTATGCATCCGATGAAGTGAGCTGTAGCTCATGAAAGCTCATGCTCAAATAAATTGGTTAGTCTCTAAGGTGCCACAAGTACTCCTTTTCTTTTTGCGAATACAGACTAACACGGCTGTTACTCTGAAACCTGTCATAAGTGCAGTAAGTGCATTAACTCGGCGGAGCGCTTCCACAGTACCGAGGCTAGCGTCGACTTCCAGAGTGTTGCACTGTGGGTAACTTTCCCACAGTTCCCGCAGTCTCTGCCGCCCATTGGAATTCTGGGTTGAGATCCCAGTACCTGATCGGGCAAAAACATCGTCGCGGGTGGTTCTGGGTACATGTACTCCCTCCCTTCCTCCCTCTGTGAAAGCAATGGCAGACAATTGTTTCATGCCTTTTTTCCTGAGTTACCTGTGCAGACGCCATACCACAGCCAACATGGAGCCCGCTCAGCTCACTGTCACCGTATGTCTCCTGGGTGCTGGCAGACACGGTACTGCATTGCTACACAGCAGCAGCAACCCATTGCCTTGTGGCAGCAGACGGTACAATAGGCCTGAAAATCATCCTCATCATGTCTGAGGTGCTCCTGGCCGCCTCGGGAAGGTCAGTCAGGAGCACCTGGGCAGATATGGGTGCAGGGACTAAATTAGGAGTGACTCGACCAGGTCATTCTCTTTAGTCCTGCAGGCAGTCCTATTGTACCATCTTATGGTGAGCAGGCAGGAGATGTGGATGGCTAGCAGTCCTATTGTACCATCCTCTGCCGAGCACCCAGGAGATGTGGATGGCTTGCAGTCCTTCTGCACTGTCTGCTGCCAGCCAAAGATGTAAAAGATAGATGGAGTGGATCAAAACAAGAAATAGACCAGATTTGTTTTGCATTCATTTGCTCCCCCCTTCCTCCCTCCCTCCATGAAGTCCTGCCTGAAATACCAGAGGGAGGGATAGCTTAGTGGGTTGAGCATTGGCCTGCTAAACTGAGGGTTTTAAGTTCAATCTTTGAGGGGGCCATTCTGTGTGACAGTTGTTTTTGTTTCTCCTTGATGTAAAGCCACCCCCTTTGTTGATTTTAATTCCCTGTAAGCCAACCCTGTAAGCCATGTCGTCAATCGCCCCTCCCTCTGTCAGAGCAACAGCAGACAGTCATTCCGCACCTTTTTTCTGTGCAGACGCCATACCACGGCAAGCATGGAGCCTGCTCCGATCACTTTGGCAATTAGGAGCACATTAAACACCACGTGCATTATACAGCAGTATATGCAGCACCAGAACCTAGCAAAGTGAAACTGGACGAGTAGGCGACGTCAGCGCGGTGACGAGAGTGATAAGGACATGGACACGGACTTCTCTCAAAGCACGGGCCCTCGCAATGTGGGCATCATGGTGCAAATGGGGCAGCTTCGTGCCGTGGAATACCGATTCTGGGCTCGGGAAACAAGCACAAACTGGTGGGACCGCATAGTGTTGCAGGTCTGGGACGATTCCCAGTGGCTGCGAGACTTTCGCATGCGTAAGGGCACTTTCATGGAACTTTGTGACTTGCTTTCCCCTGCCCTGAGGCGCAAGAAAACCAAGATGAGAGCAGCCCTCACAGTTGAGAAGCGAGTGGCAATAGCCCTGTGGAAGCTTGCAATGGCAGACAGCTACCGGTCAGTTGGGAATCAATTTGGAGTGGGCAAATCTACTGTGGGGGCTGCTGTGATGCAAGTAGATCAATCCACGCAATCAAAGATCTGCTGATATCAAGGGTGGTGACCCTGGGAAATGTGCAGGTCATAGTGGATGGCTTTGCTGCAATGGGATTCCCTAACTGTGGTGGGGCCATAGATGGAACCCATATCCCTATCTTGGCACCGGAGCACCAAGCCGGCAAGTACATAAACCGCAAGGGGTACTTTTCAATAGTGCTGCAAGCACTGGTGGATCACAAGGGACGTTTCACCAACATCAACGTGGGATGGCCGGGAAAGGTACATGACATTGGCATCTTCAGGAACTCTCATCTGTTTCAAAAGCTGCAGGAAGGGACTTTATTCCCAGACCAGAAAATAACTGTTGAGGATGTTGAAATGCCTATAGTTATCCTTGGGGACCCAGCCTAGCCCTTAATGCCATGGCTCATGAAGCCATACACAGGCAGCCTGGACAGTAGTCAGGAGCTGTTCAACTACAGGCTGAGCAAGTGCAGAATGGTGGTAGAATGTGCATTTGGACGTTTAAAAGCTCGCTGGTGCAGTTTACTGACTCGGTTAGACCTCAGTGAAACCAATATTCCCACTGTTATTACTGCTTGCTGTGCGCTCCACAATATCTGTGAGAATAAGGGGGAGATGTTTATGGTGGGGTGGGAGGTTGAGGCAAATCGCCTGGCCGCTGGTTACGCACAGCCAGACACCAGGGCGGTTAGAAGAGCACAGGAGGGCGCGGTGCACATCAGAGAAGCTTTGAAAACCAGTTTCATGACTGGCCAGGCCACGGTGTGAAAGTTCTCTTTGTTTCTCCTTGATGAAACCCCCCCGCCCCTTGGTTCACTCTACTTCCCTGTAAGCTAACCACCCTCCCCTCCTCCCTTCGATCACCGCTTGCAGAGGCAATAAAGTCATTGTTGCTTCACATTCATGCATTCTTTATTAATTCATCACACAAATAGGGGGATAACTGCCAAGGTAGCCCAGGAGGGGTGGTGGAGGAGAGAAGCACCAGGAGGGGTGGTGGAGGAGGGAAGGACAAGGCCACACAGCACTTTAAAAGTTTAAAACTTTAAAACTTATTGAATGCCAGCCTTCTGTTGCTTGGGCAATCCTCTGGGGTGGAGTGGCTGTGTGGCTGGAGGCCCCCCCACCGCATTCTTGGGCGTCTGGGTGAGGAGGCTATGGAACTTGGGGAGGAGGGCGGTTGGTTACACAGGGGCTGTAGCGGTGGTCTGTGCTCCAGCTGCCTTTCCTGCAGCTCAACAATATGCTGGAGTGTATTAGTTTGATCATCCAGCAGCCTCAGCATTGAATCCTGCCCCCTCTCATCATGCTGCCGCCACCTTTCAGCTTAAGCCCTCTCTTCAACCCACCACTTACTCTCCTCAGCCCGCCACCTCTCCTCCCGGTCATTTTGTGCTTTCCTGCACTCTGACATTGTCTGCCTCCATGCATTCGTCTGTGCTCTGTCAGTGTGGGAGGACAGCATGAGCTCAGAGAACATTTCATCACAAGTGCATTTTTTTCACCTTCTAATCTTCACTAGCCTCTGGGAAGGAGAAGATCCTGTGATCCTTGAAACACATGCAGCTGGTGGAGAAAAAAAAGGGACAGTGATATTTAAAAAGACACATTTTATAGAACAATGGGTACACTCTTTCACGGTAAACCTTGCTGTTAACATTACATACATAGCATGTGTACTTTCGTTCCAAGGTCGTATTTTGCCTCCTCCCACCACGTGGCTAGCGCCTCCCCATGGCTAACAGCGGGGAACATTTCTGTTCAGCCACAGGCAAACAGCCCAGCAGGAACAGGCACCTCTGAATGTCCCCTTAAGAAAAGCACCCTATTTCAACCAGGTGACCATGAATGATCTCACTCTCCTGAGGATAACACAGAGAGATAAAGAACGGATGTTGTTTGAATGCCAGCAAGCATACACTGCAAAGCTTTGTTCTGCAATGATTCCCGAGTACGTACTACTGGCCTAGTGTGGTAAAGTGTCCTACCATGGTGGACGGAATAAGGCTGCCCTTCCCAGAAACCTTTTGCAAAGGCTTTGGGAGTACATCCAGGAGAGCCGCAAATGCCAAGGCAAATTAATCATTAAACATGCTTGCTTTTAAACCATGTATAGTATTTTAAAAGGTACACTCACCAGAGGTCCCTTCTCTGCCTGGTGGATCCAGGAGGCAGCCTTGGGTGGGTTTGGGGGGTACTGGCTCCAGGTCTAGGGTGAGAAACAGTTGCTGGCTGTCGGGAAAACCGGTTTCTCCGCTTGCTTGCTGTGAGCTATCCACAACTTCATCATCATCATCTTCCTCGTCCCCAGAATCTGCTTCCGTGTTGCCTCCATCTCCATTGAAGGAGTCAAACAACATGGCTGGGGTAGTGGTGGCTGAACCCC